GTCCTGGTTCGGGTCCTGGCCGGGAACATTGTGTTGTGTTCTTGGGCAAGATACTTTACTCTCACAGTGCCTCTCTCCACCCAGGTATATAAATAGGTACCGGCGAATTTAATGCTGGTGGTAACCCTGTGATGGACTAGCAGCCCATCCAGGGGGAGTGGTAACACTCTTAGTTTTATGGTCTATATTGATCGCGTGGATAACAGGAAAGAGAAAGAGCTACAGCTTAACTGATAAAAAACAAAGGAGACGAATTTTTTTGGAAGAACAACATATGAAAATTTTATATCGCCGGTGAGAAAATGAGATATGCTAGCGGTCAACAAGGAGAAGACAGCAAGGTAAAAATGAGCGGCAGTGAAATTACACATACGCCTTTTTTTTTCATAAAATGAGTAACTAGAAAGTTTCAGGAAAAACTGTTTTAATGCAGAGGTCCACGCAACACGTAAATATGACTGACTGGTTCCTCTTGCTGGATCTCTAATCAAAGAGATGCTGTAGTCAGACGTCTCTTGAAGTGTGAAATAAAACAAAACTCAATGCAGGGCCGGCACTACGGCAACGACAAAGAAATGATAAAAAACGGGTGCTGCACGTGCAAAGTTTTTGTTGTTGTTGTTGCTAATTAGACAATTGATCTTTCCTTTTTGCAGTTCTCGTTGCCGTCACCGTTTAGCTTTGCTCGATTTTATGTTTTGCGCTTTTAGACTTAAAAAGAGTAAAAACAAAGAATTGGCCCGAAGAATTGTTGTTTTGATTGTTTCCTCTTGTTTTGTTTTCAATGTTTCGAACTTAAGCAGGGGCACCCAACGACCGTTTTCTGGGAAATATCTGTTCGGAGCCCTCTAGTATGCCCTCTAGTATGTCGAGAGCCCAAGAACAGCTAAAAATTTCGAAAATATCTCGTGGTGACTGGTTGTTGGGCTCAGAGTTTCGGGATTCATTGTGTGTGGTTTGTTCACCTAAGAATTTCGGATTTTGTAGTAATCTCTAGATTCTGATTTCGGCACCTAGAAATTTCGTAGCTTTCGTAAACTAAGAATAGCAAAAAACTCGGCTAATCAGTCAGTGCCATGCCGTATTTCAGATTTTTCAGTAAGTGCCGTGCGAATTGAGTTCGGCAGGGTACAAGACGTTTGAAACTGGCATTTAAATCACTTAAATCCCTTTTCTATTGTTCTTATTTTTGTTCTTCTTATTTTTTTATTATAGTTATTCTTATTATTACACCTAGAATTTTCTATACATTCTACGTCGCCCTAGAAAATTCGAAGACATTCCCATAAGAGAAAGAGTTTTCGAAAAAAAATTGAAAGGACCCCTAAAAATTTCGGCTAAGGGAAAAGCTGTTTTCTCAGGCTAGCGCAGGGTTCGAGTTAGCGAGGGTTCGAGTTATCGGGAGTCAACTGTAATCCAGAAAAAAAAGGGTCATCAGTTAATCTACACAAACGGTGCGGTATGTGTCTAGGCGTTGTGCATTGCATTCACTAAGACATTTATCATAGACTTTTATATACACTTCAAATTATGAACGTTTCGAGAACTTACAACTATGAGTCTGATCTGACGGTATACCCGGCTAACAGAGTCGCTTCGATGTCGGTAGTTCTAAAAATCCTTTCAAAGATGGTTTCTTTAGCTATTTTCACACTTTACTGCGGACAGCTTTTCGTGGCGCTACTGTATAGAGCAGCCCGGCAAACTCGGGTCGCCCTCAGAGTCAGGGTCGCCCTTATATATTTCTATACATTTATACAGAGTATGTACTTATAATGAACAATTATTCGTCGAGCCCGAATGGGCTATTTTTTTACTGACTCAGAGGCCATGAGGGCGAGAGGAATAATTGTTTTAGTAAAATCCAATTAGTTGGTAAAAAAATATCGAGACAAAACAACTTTAGCTAGATAAAGCTAGACTTTAATCCTTTTTTTCCGCCAAAAAGCGGCGCTTTGCGCTACTAGTGGGCTATAACATATAGCCTAGTAGTAGCTCAACCAATCAGAACACAGCATTGATGATAGACCACTACTTGGATTTTACTAATATCGGTTATATCGTTGAAAAAGGGAAGATCGATTTGATAGAAAACGCGCCGGAACCAAAGCAACGTCCGCAACAACGCATAGAGAGGCTCTTCAATACATGGTCCAGAATCAGGGAAATGAAGGAAGATAAGTATGCAAAGAGCTTGGCAAAGAGTCAGGTCTGTGCGAATTTTAATATGCGAGGGAAAATGTTTACTTCAAAAGCTTTGTATATATGGAGACTCTATGTTGGTGTGCTTGTGCCTTTGAGGGGCCCAATCAAACTGTTTAGAAAGCAGACAATCTCAAATGCCGCGTCAAGAAAAATAAACATTTAATCATGGACTGAACAAATAAAAAACAGTAAACTGATTATAGGGGAATGATCACACTGTGATGTTTAGCAGCAGAAGAGTGATGCGGAAAATCAGTTGTTCCTCGAAGTCACGTTGATCATTCTTTCTGATCCCATCCATCTGCAACGAAGGAAATGAGACAAAGGGAAGAAAAAATGCTGTATGACCAGAAAATGTCAAACAACCAGTTTTAATACTAACAATAAAATCTATGTATTAGAGTGTCAGTAGGAAATGATGAAAGAGTCATGATATTAGTGACCTAGCAGCCAGTACCGTCGTTGCTAAGTTTTCTAAAGAGGACAGAACGTTTAAGTAAGCTTGCACGCGCTTTCCATTTATTGGCTACGATTTGCTGGCATTGCTCAGAAAAAGTTCATTGATCGCACCGATTAAAACAACTATCAAACTATTTTAGCGATCGCACTGATTGCCTTGGTAACTATCGCTGAGAGGGGCCAACAGTTTTTAAGGCCGCTTTGCTTATGATCGTGTAGCTGTAGCAAACATATAGAAATCAGGCATAGTTATTAATTATTGTGGTGAGTATCTTGACGTAGGAAATTTTTATGAGGGACTCAAGGTGATGTTACAGGGGACGATTCGCAACGACGATTTTTGGGGCAACACAGCGTTTTAATGCCAGAATAATGTTGTATCCGTTCGAAACAATGTCGCAACGATGTTGGAACGCTTTGTTGCGCTAAAAATCGTCGTAATTGCGACCCGGGGGGGGGGGGTACGTACGAATCGTCTCGTGCAACATCGCCTTTATGCAGGTATGACATGTATGAGACTTGAGTATTGCTTACCCGTTTATTTGTTTGATTTTGCAAATCAGCTCTCGCCAATATAAAAAAGTTCAGCGATCTACTACAAAAGAAATCTTAAGAAGATGATCACATGTTTTAAAGGGGCTATCAGGTCAAGAGGATATCGCTACTTTAGGGATCAATTTTATGCTGAAGTCATTACTGAGTGTATACCAGTACACAAAATGCTCCTGTAATGTCGTGAAGAAGATATAACACAATTTCATCAGGAATCACTTAAACCATAATAATTTTCTTGGGGGTATTTTGCAGCCTGAAATGGCATTAAAACTCGAAGTTGGCCCAGGTGTTTTGAGTTTCAATCCACGTCTATTCTTCCCATCTGTAGCAACAGACGACAGGAAACAGTTTCAATGCCTACATATAGTCTTAAATCAGTTAAATAACAAAACTGGATTACTATTTTTGGAGGTGAATTGATGAGAAGGCACTTTGTAGCTTTTTAAAAAGTAAGCCAAATAGCCAACCTCGTCCCTAGGGCACTTTTCCCTGACTTTGGAGGTGAGGCGGGAAAGGGCCCTGTTACCTCTTCTCCCAGATGACAGGCACACACCAAGGTTACATATTTAGTCGTTCTTGGAACTATGCAAAGGGGGACAGAGTTTAACAACAAATTAAATTCAATATCCACAGAGCAGTTCTCTTTCTAGGCTTCATATTAAGGATGGATCTTTCAAATAGAAGCTGAATCACAAACTACTACACAACAATAACAAGCTCTATAAAGAGTCCTCGAAACCGTAATGCATCAGTCAATTCCACCTGCGCCGAGCCCTCCCCCGGGCAACTGCGGGGCTCATATGTCATGGACAGGAATAAATTGTCAGTAGAGTGTTGTATGTTGTATGTGTTGCATGTTCTCGATTTCACATGTATGTATGCTTTTCTTCATTGCTTATCAAGCCAGAATTACGTAGCGAAATTGGAGCTATCGATGTGATCTGAATCAACGTTTCTTGGTTATTGAATCAAATTTCTGTTGATATTATTGGAAAAGCATCCTTTCATATTTATAAAACTATTCATGACATATAACTTTACAGCGCTCTATTAATTTTAATGTCAATAATTTTATACCAATACTAAAACCATAAACTGGTGCATGTCGTCGCGGCGTGAAGTCTTAATTAGCATCCTCGCGCTATTACAAAGGAAGACGTTAATTAAACCAAAAAATCGCACATTAAAATGCTTAAAACGGCACTATTTGACCGTGCGATCAATGAAAAATATTGCAGTGTTGACGGAGGACGGGGCATTCCAATAATTGTTTAATATGGTTTTGAAGGTTTTTTCGTCCCCACCTTAGAACTGGGGATTTGACAGCAATTTTTAAGAGTCCCCAACCCTGGGAATTTGCCATCCAAGGCGAACTGTAAAAAAATGCTAATGCCAATTTCTTCGAAATATGGGGTCTGCCATAAATTCAAAACAACCATGTTCAGGGGGGGAGGGAGGGGGCTGGGCGCAGGTGGAATTGACTGATGCATAAGTCTCACGGCAAAACCGTGAGTCTTGAGAGGTCTGTAATAATAAAGACAATATATTCGAAATATGATTGAATACTGGATGGTAAAAGCAAGCATAAATTCAAAACAACCATATTGCCGTGCAAACAAAAGCTTGGGTTGCCTTGAGTTTTCATAAACGGACTGCTCAGGTCATTTACATGAAGTATAGTACAGCTTTAATCACTCTTACATGACATACCTAACGTAAATTCAATATGGACAGAATCCAACAATAGTCATTTTTAAACCTGATTATCTTTTGCGTTCAACATGAGTTACGTTACCACAATAGTTCTTGTTCTTTTTGGAGTGTACGTAGCTAACAGTATTTATGTAATTTATCACCTTTTTCACTTGCCGGAATGCCAAGGCGGTGTTAGAAAGTGTCTTCGTCCAGATGGCGTTATTGATAAAGAATTGGAGGTAGGTAAGACTTACATGTACAGGAAAATCCATCTTTTTCTCCGATCAACAATAAATGAGCCCTTTTTCTATCCTTGTATATATACCCTATTGTTAAAATGGAATGGCCCTCAGTTGTTTCGTTAATAGCGCTTTGCACTATTCCCAGGGGGGGTACTCGGGATTTCAACTGACGGGGATGATGGTAGGCGGGATTTTTTTGAGTTAGAAATTTTCGATTCCGGGATTTTTTGGCTACGAAAATTTGGTTTAGGTAACTTGATTTGAGTAGGGATTTTTTGGGGGTATTAAAAAGAATCGGTAGTGCCCTGGCTGCGTAGTTCTGCGAATAAAGTACAAACAAACGTGTTTTGCTGTTGTTTAATAGTTAACTATGGTGTCGCTTTACATCGCACGTGTTATACAATAGTCTGCAGAAATCGGCATGGGATTTTTTTGGGGTTAATTTTTGGTCCAGGGATTTTTTGGGTTTTGTTGGAAGCCCTAGGGATTTTTTTTGGGTCTTGACTTTTGGCTCCATTCGATCATCCCCAACACATGAAATCCCGAGTACCCCCCCTGGGGCACTATTACTAAAAATAGGTTTTGTCACCTTAGACCCCAACCCCCCCCCCCCCCCGCATGACTCAGACAAACATTACATTCTACTCAAAGGCTTTGTATGAGCAACATACGTTTCTGACATGAAAACTGTTCATAAAATTCGCAGTGAGTGTTTTTAAAATGTGTTTTTGAGCTACTCCAATGTATAAAACCTGGTTCAAGTAACTAAAAAGATCACTTTAAGACAGAAAAAATAAAGCGACTTGATTAATGAAGGTTGCTGAAATCAGATCCCTGGCCCTGTCTTCATCAAATAGCACTCTATGCACTGAAACATGACATGGCTGTGTAATGCTCCAAAACCAAAATTGCTAAAGAGAAAATCGAGTTTCTATGTACTTCTCGAAAGCCTGTGACAGAATATCTAAGCTCAAAAGCACACCAACGTTAGCACAAACCAAAAAATTTATAAGTTTGTTCTGTTATTGTGTGACCAGGCAGATACCATATGAATTCGGGACGAATACAGTACTTTATATCCTGTAGCGCAACATAAGCACTCAACTAAAAGAAATTGAGAAACCTTTGCCTTTAAATTTAGCCTAATGCTCCGTTTCATAAACAGCTTTGATCGAATTAGCTCTACTCTCCACACATTTCTTAGTAAAATGCCGCAACATAATTTTACAAACAGTAATGACACCGCATAAGAAATAAGATCACTCATCTGTACAGTTTTTTTTCCATGTTTAATGTTGTCTTGGCACGTGTTGATTATTTTGAAGATGTATATTATCAAAACCAAGTGGGATTTTGTCTTTTTTAACGATAAAAATCTTCAAAGGCAAGGGAAGTTTGTTGGCGAACGTGACTTTCCCATACAAAACTCTTATACTGGTCGGGTTCAATGTCTGAGTCACAGCAGGGACCAGAAATTTGTGACATCATTAGTGCAAAGTGCTTTTTAAATGCTGTAAACCTCCCAATTTTAAGCCCTGGAATTATACTATGTTGTCAGGAGTTTTAGTAGGGCTTATAAACTGGACAAAAAGAGCGTTTGAAACCAAGCTACATAACAGTGCTGATCAAATTTGATAACTTTTTAATCTTCAAAACGTCGTAAAAAGTCAAATACATTTCAATGCAAGTTAGAGGGGGGCTTATAATAGGGGGAGGTTTACATAACCTTTTGTTTTTTTTGTTTAAAAGTAGATGAATCTATAAATGGGGGGGGAGGGGCTCATAAGTGGGGAGGGGAGGGGGGTTTATAATCAGAAGTTTACAGTAATAAATTAGCTCCCTTCATCTGTTAATTGCCCTCTGTTGTAACAAGATACCGGTTTCTTCAATGACTCAAAGAGGTCATCACGGCTTAACTGCAGAATACCCCGTTACTTCTAAGCTACATCCTAAATTGGGTGGATACGCGGATACGTGGATACGCAGATGTGCCACATGGGGGAACTGGATACCAATGTCATGTAACATACTTGAAATGACCAGCAGTATGCGGTCAAACCTCCCGGCCATAGTATTATGCAAAATTCAACTAAGTTCCTGTGAAAAGCAAGCTACAAATGTAATACCGTTGAACCTCCATGTGCGACCACAAATTGTAAGCGACCACCTCCCATAAGTGACCATGCACCTATCCAAAACACCAAAACTTTCCCAGTCAAAGCCTTACAGTTGGAACCTCTAGTACATGACTAGTAAGTGACTGTGACCACTTTTGCTCTTGTTTTGTTTTGTATTTCTTTACCATATTTTTTGTACCTATTAGCTGGTTTCAATTTATTCACATTGCTGCCCGATCACAGCATCGCGAGTTGTTGTGGTGAATGTATTTCTAGTAACTTTATTTTTTTTTACAGGTATTAATCTGTACATCCCTTCAGCAGCACAGGGTCAACAGCAAAAATTGTCCCTTACTTTGGAAGAGTAACAACTTTAGTTTGTCAGAGCAGTTTGCAGTGTGAGTCTCATGAGGCTTATTTACATGTGTGTAGTGTTGTGGGATATTTATACAAGTCACGCTGTATTTTCATAATCCCCTACGGCCATTCAAAACTAGCCTGCGCGCAGACCCTTTAAACCACACTATATGCGATACGTGGGCCGGCTGCACCACAGGCTATTCAAAACACAAGAGAGGAGTTTTTGATTAAAAAAACTGTTCTTTTAAGTGTCCTGGCGTAGTCTGTGAATACAGCTGCTTTTCCTTGCATGCATAATGACTGTTTTTTAGTACACTGTAGATTCACGGTGTTTAATAGTTTAATACTGAATTTGATTTGTGTTACCCTTTGTATTTTTGCTATCCCTTGTTAACAGTAGAGCAGTACTATGTTGACCATTAAGCACTCATTGACCAGATTACAGACAAATCTACGTGATCAGACTGAGTATGGAATTTTTTGGCCAGACCGCACATGTCTCTCCCTCAAACCATCCCAAACGGCAAGAACGAGGGGAGACAACTCGATTCACAGGCTACTTTTTGAGCTAAATTGCACCATATAATATGATGTGGTTTTTAGACTTGTAAAATGAGAGGTAGCTATTGTTGGCAATGCTGAGAACTTTAAAATTTGAAACTCTTATGTACAGGTCTATTTTGTTTTTATTATTATTTTTTTTAAATTCAAATTTTAAACTTGTTTTTATTACCCCTGCTGAGTTTCTTGCTGATTGTACATTGTTGGTCACTAAAAAAAACAACAACTATAAAAAATGCTTTCAAGACTGCTTGACAATGGCAGATGTGGAATACACTTTATGTTGACAAAAAATATTATCACCATGGTTCAATGTATACTTGGCCACTGTAACCACATGTTTCCTTGTATACATGGACATTTCCATGCTCAAGTTGCATTTGAACGTCCTATTTTTACAGATCAGTAAATGCCAGTTTACCGCAGAAGACAAGAAATAATGGATCGCTATTTGCTCACCTGTTTATTTACCCAGTTGGAGAATCTCCTTTCAACAGTGAATATGCTTCACATGCTGTTGCTCCATTAACTGTGTACTCTTTACCTCAAGATGAATCAATTAATCTTTTAAATTCTGGTGAAATGCCAAAAAAGGTGAGAATTCTAGTCCGCCACCCTGGTTTGTGCAGAAGGAGGGCACTCCTTTATTTTTGACTAAATGAATACATGATGTGCTACTTTTAACAGGGTGTGGCTTTTGTGGCCTTGAGTCTTCAATTTACATGGTGTACACTACAATTTTCTTTTTTTCTAGTCCTTAACAGGGTGTCTTTCTAGAAACCTTGAACTGGTTATGAACGGTAGCTATGCATGGTTTATGCATTGTACATGACCAGTACAATAATTTTCTAAAAAAATAAAATTTTATGATGTCACATGTAAGAAAAAAACTTTTGTTTGTTTTCAATTTGAAATGAATCAGCGTCACAAAAAGGCCTCTTGTCTAGTGAATTAAGGTGGTGATTGTCAGGGCTTGAAGGACTATTAATGGCACACACCTAGCCAATGGCACAGCACACCCACCCTTAACTGCCCGTCTCCCAGTCTCTTTGGCTCTTATCAAGAGACGAGAGGGATCAAATAGATTGATAAAGTGATCAAATGTTGTTTATTTCGCAGAAACAAAGTTCACCATCCAGTGACATCCCAGTGACGCACTGGAAACCAATTCTCAACTTTCATGTTTTAAATGAAAAAGTTGTATTTGATCGTCAAGCCATTCCTGGTGAGATCTACCCGTTTATAAGGTAAGTGAATAGTCAACTGTAAAGTTTCAGCTGAAGTATATGCTCCTTTCTCCTGTCAAAATTACTGGGCTTTTTTTTAATGTACATTATGGAGTGAGATAAGGTTAATTTTAACCCTTAGGCAGGGTTGTCAGAAAGTTTTGAAGTAGATGGCGGAGTTGTCAAAGTAAGCGGCCAGTCCAGGGTTATTTTATTTAAAAAATTCCATCCGTAAAGAAATGCCAAGCAGAGTAGCCGGCCGATTCTAACCAAGTAGGCGGCAATTTTCACCGACAGCCGGCTACTTTTGACAACCTTTTGCTTACAGAAACATGACCGCTGGCAGTCATATATTGCATTTTTCATGAAACTTAGGGTACTTACTATTTACATGGAAAGTAAGGTTAGAAAATTAAATGGTTCTTGACCATTCTTGCCACTCCATTTAAGAAGCTTCTGAAAATATGGGCTGTGATTTGAGGCAATGCAATTTTTCTACTCTTTTTTCTCTGTTCAGCTGAAGTTGTTATTCTTTGCAAAGGGTCATTCTCCCACCAAGTCAAATTTTATAGTTTTGTGTTTGTATTATATGCCCAAGATTTCTACCCAGATGGTTTGTGTAAGTAGTATAAGCACCCTTGTTTTCGTAAGAAAGTTCTTGTCACTTTTGCTAGTTCATGTTCTTATATTTATGTGTTACATGTTCGTTGGTTTATGCTATAAATTTATACAGTAAGTATGGTATGTGTAAGTAACATGTAAATTATCACAAATGACATAACTACTTAGTCTGACTATCTAAAATAGCGAAATTAACCATTTAAGTCCCAACAGTGATCAACATCAATTTTCTCTTTACAATATCAATACATAATCAAGAGAAATGGTAGTGAGAATAAATGAAATGATCACCTACAGAAAACGGCTTTGATCTTTTATCAAATTCGCCCTGCCATTTATTAAGACACTGCATATGGACATCAGGTTAGATATTATTATTGAATATTGGGGTTTGAAGGGTTAATATTAAATACCGCTATCTTCATCTAATAGTATTTGATTTTGTTCTTTTCCTTTGCTTTTTAGTTTAGCGCCCAATAATGACTATCTGCCAGTTTTATACATTGATCAGCTGGGTGTTATTTATAGATACCTCAAGGTAAGACTACTATCATTAACTTATATGAGGTATCACTGAACCATGTTTTGCTTCATATCATAGGATGTTCAGGTTGAAATTTGGACAATCCTTCAAGAGTCATGTGTAAGATTATGGCCTAGATACAATGAGTCCATCTCATCCCTCACTTCTCGGGGCCTAAGAGAGCAGTGGAAATTGAGCGTTAACCCAATCCTGAACCTGTAAAGTTCATGGTGCCCAGCGTTGATTTTTATGCCAAAACTGAGAATTCTCAGTCATCCAAGAGCAGAAGTGAGGCCTTGAAACATTCTTCTGACTGTTTTGGTTAGATATAAAATGAAGTCTTATAAAATAAGAAAGAGTGTTTGATAATTAAGTAACTTATGCAGGTAGAGGCTGTTCCTTGGAAAAGCTCAGCAACAAACAGTTCCCTATGTAAATTTTACTTGTCTACTATCATGATGTTTTGTTTTTGTTTTTGTTTTTGTTTTTTCAAGCCTGTGAATAAAAGTAGTACACAGATGGAACTTAAGATCAAATATTCACCCATCTCCCTTGGGAAGCTTCGCATCTGGGCATCTGTTCATCATTCATTCAAATCTATGAGGCAACTAGGTAAGAAATGCTTTGTGACAGGGAGTAAATTAAGCAAGTTTTTAATGTGGATTGTACAATTGCAAAGTTTATGTGATTATATTGATACCTTCAGTTGTTTCTTTGAATAGACCAGTTTTCAATTATTAAAATGATTATTATTCATACTTACATGTAGCTCCAAGCCTGAGGGATACGATTGAGGCCCATTCACACTAATGTGTTTTTGTTTGAAAGTGCTTTCATTGTGATGCATTTAGGCCTGAGCATTTTCATCGAAACGCATTGATTTGAAAACGTTCTCGAAATTGGATCAAAATCTTGAATGCCAATGTGAAAGACATTAAACCGTGACTCAGAAATTTAGTGTACACTTCTGTACTCTGGAAGTTCACTACAGATGTGGATCTGGAATTTTTCATGACTGTATATCCAGTTTTTGTAAGGATGTTTTAATTTTTTATGCACTTTTAAAGTTGGGAACCTGCCCTCATACAGTTAACGACTGTTGAAGCAGTGTGAATGCTGTTGTTGTTTTAAACCTTGTTTGTTTTGCCATAGATGTTGATAAGGAAACGAAACGTTAATTTTAGGTTCATTAATGTATCCAAAGTGTTAAATGTTTCTCATTTGAAAATACGTCAGCTCTTGGATATATACTAGTAATGATAACGTCTTGTGAGCAGTTGAGTTTTTTTGGAGGTTGTAAGTAGTGATCATGTGACGGTTGATAACTGCTCTTTCCGTCTGTTAATATTTGTAAATCGCCTGTTTGTTGATGTACTCAATCTTTGAAAACTACATATAAACACATTCTCAGGAATGATGAGAGACTCGTTTAGTTGTTTTGTTAACTACTATTTCATTGGCGTGGGTTTGAAAATCCTCCTATAAAAACTCCTAAATCTCCTATATTTTTTTGTGCTTTGCTCCTGCTTTTCCTACAAATTATTTTGAAAATGGCTGGGATGTATGAAATAAGGTCTCACGCCCTTAAAAGTGTGGAATCATCCCCTCCCTTTAAGATCACTTTCTCAATTATACTAGAGACGTTTTATAATAGTTTCTAAGACGAGAACGACCACGAGAATGAGATTTTCACAATACTAAGTAGTCCAGTGTCATTTTGGCGGGAAAACGCAGTAGCCGTGGTCAATCTATTACGCGTCGTAGTGGTGGAAACAAGCCATGAAATGTTAGAAGTCTTATCATTTTGCGATCGGGTGAGGACTTAACCTCCTTCAATGAAAATAACTGTGTTAACGTTTCGGGTGAATGAAATAATAATAAATTAATTAATTAAAAAGCTTTACTGGGTGTCTGGTTTTTTGAGAATAGGTGAAAAAAATCTTACGTCTAATCTCATCCTCCTAGTCGTTCTCGTCCTCGTCCTTGAATCTAAACGAAAATATAAAAAACCCCTTCCTTTTCTCAGTGGACCAGGCTACTTTATTTCATTTTGTTGAAGGAAATTTCATATTAAAGTGCCCCCAGCCATTTCGGAAAAAATGGTCAGTGCTAAGTATCCTGCGAGCAAGCTCTCCGTTTGGGGTAGTCGCGAGAAGTCACGCGACAGCCACACGCGTGAGGAGACGCGAGTGCGAGTGGCTTCGTCGCTCGCTCGCGCGTTCTCTCACGGCTTGCTTCGCTCGCTTGCTCGCAGCCTTAAGTGCTCAGTCACTTACTGGATTTGTCAAACCTAGTTATCTCCTTTTATATTTCTTATATTTGAAATCTTCAGTAATAAATCCATTAAGATTATTTATTTTTTCAGGATTTTCAGAAAAGGACTTAGATGAAATACGAGGAATCTTCACAGACACCAATCTTATGTTTCTTGGTCTGACATTTGCCATTACAGTACTCCATGTAAGTAACACTACCACATCAGCAATTATAAACGAGACTTTTTTTCTTTCCAAAAAATGGCGTGTTTTGTGATGACGAAATCGCGGAGAGCTAAATCCAAACAATTTACTTCGAGTGCTGGCAAATGGCAAATTCGTGACTCTGTGCAAAGACTGCGAGGCTAACCCTTGTCCCCGTGAGCCTCAGATTGGTGAATTTCCCGCTCCAGAAACTATTAGGGGAATTGGTACAAGCTTTCGGCGCAACGATTTCTGGGATTGTTTGAGTGGACAAGCGTTACTGTTGATCGGTTAATAGTTGGCTTGACTACCATCGACCAATCATAACTAACGCTTGTCCAACCAAACGATTCCAGAAATCACTGTACCCAAAGCTTGTAGCCATTCTCCCTATAGTTTATGAAGTGGGTATTAGCGAGAAGGAGACCGCAGAAGAGTGTTTAAAATGCCGTCCAGAGAGACTTTGACCGACTCTAAGTTTTTCGCAAACTTCTGATTAGCCGTTCGTGTACTTAAACAGGGCACAAATCACCGATCAAATTCCAAAACATATTCGCAGTGTGGTAGGCTTCTTTCTGGCTAAAATTGTAGGGAGAAGCCCGTGTCAATGCGGAGAAGCCATTTATATATTCAAAAATAGGAATTGCAAGAACCTCAAAGCCCTCCAAGAACATCTGAATTCTACTAACATTTTGCGAGACTCCTGTACTTTTTTGAGGGAAACTGACATATTTTTAATTTCTTTCCTTCTCATTTTGTTGCAGCTTCTGTTTGATTTCTTAGCATTTAAAAATGATATTAATTACTGGAAACGCAGGGACAGCATGGTGGGACTATCAATGAGAACAGGTGGGTATCAGGGAATAGGGGAGTCAATCGAATCTTTCAATTTTCAGGGGCACCCAACGACAATTTTCGGAAAAATATCTGTTCGGAGGACGATTTGAGAGCTAGAATTTTCGAAACATTTGTTGTAAAATTTCTTGCTTGCCTGCCTTTCCTAGGATTTTCGAACATCTAAAAAATGGTATAATTGCCTATTTTTAACGGATTTTTACCCTAAAAAGGTCACCTAGAATTTTCGGGAGCCTTTTTTTCTGGCTGAAATTTTCGAAAAGGTAAGTTTTGATTCCTATAATTTTCGGATCACTAGACTTTCAGCTAGGAAATCCGAACAGATGAAAAATTTTTAGCGAATAAAAATATGCCTTTGTCTACCTTTTAAATACTAAAATACGTTTAACAATGCTATGTTTAAGTGTCTTTGAACTACATTCTCGTTGGGTGCCCCTGAATTTTTTGCGTCATTCGTATATGCCTTTCATTCAGTTATCTGTGAAAATTGGAACCCGATATACTGAATAGTTTCGGAGAAATTATCTTTGAAAAACTCGAAACTTTACAAACAATGTATGGGCTCATTAACGCGGTTTTTGCCATCAAGCAATTTCGCAGTTTTCGATGGCTGCTGTTTTCTTTGTTATTGCTTGCAAAGAGCTGAAAATTGGACAAATTGCTCAAATTAACCAACTCTTTCAACTTTTGAATTTAATTTGTTCATTTCGTGACGTCTTCTCGTTTTGTGAAAATGAGTTGTATTTGCATGAGAATATAAATTACTTTTCATAATGGCTTCGCACTTAGCCTCCCTTTGAAACAGAGGCTGAGGATAGAGTAAGGGCCTGTTTACATGGAGGTGGGGGACCTCAGGCAGGTGAGGTAAAATATAACGTGATCAAATCAAAATGAGAGATTATATGGACAAGCGGGTTACCCCACCTAAGCGGGCTGTCTCACCTACCTGGGGTCCCCCACCTCCATGTAAACAGGCCCTAACTCAGAATGGACTGTTACCGTTGGTGTCAGAGTCCTTTCCGTGCGCGCGGCTGGATGCTACGGACTCCAGACAGGAGCCGCGAAGCTTTTCGCGTTAATCACCAAAAAGACTTGACTGAAATCGGAAACTGCGCTTGAAAAGTCTCCCTGGGTCGGGAAACGCTTCCGTATTATAAGCCTTCCATGAAGTTTGTATTTACAGGGTCTGAAAGAGGCGTCCTGATCCCGCATTCCCGCTCTTTATTTTCACGACAATCCCGCATCCCGAACTTCCCGAACGAAAACCGTTTTCTTTCCCAATACTGCACACTGTGCCAAGATTTTGGCGAATCCCGCTTCCGAGTATCGGTCAAAGCCTGTATCCCGTAAGTAAATTTTGCGTTTTCCCGAATCTCGTGCTACATTTCGGGTCAAATCTGGGATCCCGAGATAACCCTTTCAGACCCTGAATCCCTTACTTACAACTTTTTTCTCATTAACACATGCTTAATAGAAAGATCATAGCAGAATTAGCCATCTCTAAAATTTTGAGCCCGGTATATCATATTTTTTTTTGGAGAAATTCTGTTTTTAAAACTGACAACTTAACAAAAATTGTATGACGCATTGGAATTTTTGGCACCAGTCAATTTTGCAGTTTTTGATGGTTAATAAACAGCGAGGTTAAAAAGCTAAGGCGTGATAACTGTTTGCTTCAGTGAAATTCCAACTGCCTCCTATATTCACCTCGGATGAGACATTAAACTTATAATAATTGTTGACGGTCAAACTTTTCTTCTAAAAGTTGACCAATTGAGGCCCTTGTTTGTCGTTAGCAATGGTTAGTTTTTGCTAAGAGCCATTTTCTCATTTGTTGCACTGCAGTTATTTGGAGATGTGTCAGTACAATAATTATCTTTTTATATCTAATGGATGAGAAAACCAGCCTTCTTGTTCTTATTCCTGCTGGGATCGGCTCATTGATTGAGGTAGGTCGACGTCGTTACTGAGTTATGCCCTTAACAACAAGAGTTGTAGGCAACAGTTAAAGTTTTGATTTTATCTTTTCCTCAAAACATGAAACAACTGACAGGCAGGGAGGTATTAGGAGCATTTCTATCGGGTTTCTGTTTGTGCGAGTACTAGAAAAAGTGGTACTAAAACTCCGAAAATGAAAGGAAATGTCAGACTCCTAAGTGGTGCAAACTGGAATGTCCAGAGGGTTTGGGGTGGGGCACAGGAGATTAGATCAAGAGACAAATCAACAAAAAATTGTCTTTGGAGATATAGAGATTTTCTTGACCGAAACATTGCGGTGTTGTTTTATTTGAGTTCAACTTAATTTTTTGTTCTGTACAGATGTGGAAAGTGACCAAGGCATTCAAGGTCAATATAACATGGGAAAAAGGATCAAGACCTTCAATACAGGTGAATAGAGGTGACCGGCCTACCCTGCTGTGTCATGAAATAAGGTTAAGCTCTGTCATATTTATTGTTGCCTAAATTTTTTCCGTTTTATAGTTTGGGAAGCGTTCAAGCAAGGAACAGGAGACAGAGGAATTTGATAGCGAAGTAAGTGCCTGAACAAAATATTGGTACATTTATTGATGGGAACACCACTATCGAGGATTCGTGTATATACATTAGCGCCATTTATACAAGGAAAAAAAATAAGACGCGTCTTTCATAAGAGGCAAACCGCCCCAGTCTGTTCTAGGCTCTCAGATAGTAGGATTGACGCGTAAGTAAGGCGCGCGAAAATATAAGCGCGTGCGCGTTACCCGACTATCTCGGAGCCTAGCCTGCGTGGCCGGCGTTGAAAGGGAAAGGGGAAGGGGGAATTTGGGCGCGCGCGAGAGCACGCTCTCTCGCGCGCCCAAATTCCCCCTTCCCCTTCCCCTTTCAACGCCGGCCACGCAGGCTACTCGGAGCCTGGAATAGGCTAAAACTGCCCTGTATAAACGGCACATTTCGTCTGAAATAAGATGCGACTTAGCTACGACGCGTCTTATCTAAGTTTTATCTAAGTCTAAGTCGTCTTATTTAAGTCGCGTCTTATTTCAGATGAAATGTGTTATAGAACGCGTCTTATGAAAGACGCGTCTTATTTTTCCTCTTATAAATGGCCATCATTTCTTACTCAAGTAAACAGTTTTGGTCCGGGCGCAACGTGGCCGGTCTTACCATAAATAAATAAGTAGATAAATGAATAATTAAATAAATAAAAAAATAACAAAAACAAATACAAAGACAACACCGCAAGATAAAGAAAGATTCGTCACTTAAATGTGGACCAGAGGGTTAATAAGAAATTTATTGATATATCTCTGGGTGGCCTGAGTCGGACGCGAAAGAGCACACTGAACACATGCGCGCCCCACGGTAGTTGATCATGTAGAACGAATACTGACAAAGAGGGATCAATTGTCGACCGATGTCGGCCGAGTGTTCCTTGTATCTACTGCTGGTGGAGACACTTCAGCGATTTATCGGTCTAGCATACGCCGATAATTTACCAGCACTAGGTAAATACTAGACCGACATGCCGATACTGGACTGTGATATCGGCCGAAAATTATCCGCAAAACACTTAAGCTACAGAACGAGAGACGTGATGGTGATTTACCATTTTCCATGTCTGGAGAGTAAATGGTGCACGTTTCGGGTCGTTCCAGTGAAAAACTTTCGGTTGCAACGAAACGTCTGTAAAAGTAGTCAATTTTTTTGCTGTCGGAATGAGCCAAACGGATTTTCTTGTTCAATTCCTTAACACTTATCTTGGATACCAGTCTCATGCCTTCGCTGCTGTTTTATTTTCCCGTAAATAGGACGAGATTCACAACAGAACTTGCCATTCCTGAGTTTTGTTTACCATTTGCTCATTCTCTGCAACCGTGAACCAACCGGTTTGACCATGTATAAATAGGGAATTTGAGACACCCCGACGGCGACGGCTACGGCTACCGCTACGAAAACGTCGCTTATACTCGAACTCATTCACTTTGTCAAATGCAAGCAAACTCTTTTTGAGCCGAATTCCTAAGAACCATATACAAATTCAGAAAGAGAAAGAAAATTTAACAGTCCCTTCTTTACGTCCTCCATAAAACGTGAAATTAGGCATTTTCCTTTCGTAGTCGTGCAGTGGCAGCAGAGAAATGTACAAAAAAGAGTGATGCACGTACAAAGTTGTCGTTTTGCTCATTCAAGCTATTGCTTTTTTGACGTTTTTCGTTGTCGTGGCCATCTTGGCATCTTAAAGTCTCTAATGGTAAACAATAAACACATATGATGGACATCACTGTGCACAAAATGGATATTTCGTGCCTCGTCTCACTTATACTTGCCCCTCATGCGTTTTCTTCATACTGGTAATTAGCAGGCTTTCGTTCCGTAGAGGTTTTGTTGAATTAATAAATTGTTTATGTTATTTTGTATTTAAGGCTATGCGTTATCTATCGTACGCCCTGTATCCTTTGCTGGTAGCTGGCGCAGTGTACTCTCTAGTTTATTATCCACACAAGAGGTAATGTAAAATCCTGGTTTCATTTGGTCAAAAGATGGTTATCGAAAGTTCGAAGCAAATAACCGGAAATAAGGAAATAAGCAAATGGATGGTGAAGTGAAGTCTCATGCAGACTTCACTTCAAGGGCAGCAAGAAATAAAGATTGATATTTTGAAAGAGGAATTAAGTAACAAATCTTGATTGATATACTGGGATGGACACTGAATTTGAACTGGAGTGACAAAAGAGTGAAGACAAAGAATTGACACGATTGTTTTGCGAGAAATTATCTGTTTCGGACGTCAGTTCACCTTTTTTTTTCCAACTTGTCACGCGCTTAAAACATGGTTCAAGTTATCGAGGGAACAATTATACACAAATTATCTGAAGGGAAAACAAAAATTACTTCGAGTTATTTGGAAGTTCAAGTTATCGAGGGCTCGAGTTACCGAGGGTAAAATTGCAGTAAACCTATGAAAGAAATCCAGGGGAGACAAACGGACGAGTTAGCGAGGGTTGCATACCCAAGTTTAGGCTATTAAAAAGGGGTTCAAAAACCATTCTCTCTGGCGTCCCACATATCAGTAACGATTATGTAAGGAAGTACCTCCTTTCCGAGGGAGGCAAGGAATAACCTCTTGAAAAGAAAAGTGTGTAAAACATCTCCTCAGTTAGCCTGCGAGCAAGCTCTCCTATTTGGGCAAGCGAAGCGAGCCTCGCGAGAACGCGCGAGCGAGGGGCCGAGGCCTTTCCTCTGTCCCTCGCGGCTTCGCCGCTCGCTCGCGCGTTCTCGCGAGATTCGTTTCACTCGCCAAAATAGGAGAGCTTGCTCGCAGGCTACTCCTCAGTTTAATAGCTCTGTCGTGTAACAGAGCATTCTGTGTCCTCAGTCGTCAACTTCAGGCCTCTTCTCCTTCTACGTATGGGTTCATGTTCTTCTTTATTTGTGTTTCTGTCATTTCATAAAGCTGCTGCACTGTTATCTATTTTCTAACCTTTCATTCCTCTCCTTTAATTCCAGTTGGTATTCTTGGATTATTCGAAGTCTTGTGAATGGTAAGTTAGTTGTCATCCATTTTCAAACCATTTTTGAAAGAAAACCGTCAAAACACGTGTGAAGACAGGGTCTGTCACCTTTTGGAAAGAAATTAAAAAAAAGAGACAGGGAGAGAAGAAAACAAGATTCCTAGATCTCAGACGCAAGTATCCTTTTGACTGCGAGGTTTTCCCGAAAATAGGACTAGTATATGGCTTGTATGAAGTTCTGTTTTTACTCTGTGAACTTTGTCTTCAATCTCACTTAGACGTCACCAGGGCAGGAATTACCCTGGAAATTTGACCCTTTACCCTCTCTCCCAGTAGTGCCTGCCCCCCCAAAAAAAAAAAAAAAAAAAAAAAAACAACAAAAACATATAAGGAGAAACAAAAAACAAACTGCGGTGATAAACATAAGGAAATATAAACGCTTTTCGTTCTTGAAAGCCGGAAAAAAGACTTTAACTTGACGTTTCGTATGTTCCAACATACATCTTCAGAAGTAATAAACCGTCGAATAACAACAGAAATTTAAATGTAGAATAAGTAACTGATTAAAGAAACGAAATATAACATAGTAGAAAATTTGCATTAAAAGAAAAAGCATGCAGACTGAAAAAGGTAAAGTTTTTCACTACCGACATTTTCATTTAGGGAAGGTTCTAAGTCCCTAATCAGCCGAGTCTCCTTTATCTTGCAATGGGTGTTCAACCGTCCTCTTGCAAAAACATTTTAAATTGCTTTTTGTAGAACATCCTAAAAGACAAATAGTACTTCGCAAAAGTTCTGCCAAAGGATGAGGTCTATTTTCGAAGTAATCGTAGTGGAGGAGACAGGTCATGAAAGGTGACAAACATTAAAGATAAAAAGCTACCTGAAGATACACAATAGCCCACGTTCGAATTCAAACATGAATTCGAGGCTTTAGGGGCAAAATTGCAAATTTTTCACGACTCCATTTTCTCGCAATTCCCAGGAGAGACTTGAGCACAAAGAAAATCCTGAAACCAAATATAGAAGAGCGACCAGAAAGAAAAGTGGCACACGAGCCGCTCACTGTTGTTTTTACCACATTTTGACGTCCTCTGTGATCTATTACTGAACAGACCCACGGCAACATGGAATCTATTTGTTTTATACGATGATCAGAAAAGAAAAAGACCGATACACATACCTGCCTCGAACCGCTTGACCTTTTGAGGGTTTGTGCTAGTTTAGGCATTTTTTAAGTCCCAAACCCAACTTTTCATCTTAGCTTCTTCTTTATCTTACTTGTGTACAGTTTCTTCGAAAAGTTTTTCACCGTCTTTTCTCGCTCAAAGAAGAATAATAGCGAAAACATTTTGCAAAACAGCGAGTCTCTCGTAGCGAAGACACACGATGGCAACTGTTGTGAAGATTTCTTGTAGCTTAGGCATTGTCAAGTAGTCAATAGCTTTTTTGGTCTCCGTTTCTCCATTTTTCTTCTTTGTAAATAGCTCCTGCTAAACTTTTTCCGAAGCTTTCACTTGCCTCAATCCGACATAATCTCACAAACATTTTCAAAACCGCGTGCCATGTTGAACAAAACAAAGAAAACAAGTTTCCCGTGACGTCATCCATGTATCTGTACTCTAATAGATCATGGGCAACGACCAATCACAGCGCGCGTAGCATTCACATCATTGTATTAATTGATATGGAACGTTGGCCATTCTACCGGTATATTTTCTGCTCACAAATTGTGACTGAATATATTAATGCAACGTTTTCATTGGTCAATAAGATCAAAATGGTAGGAATGCCAGTGTACCTTGTGCACCGTTAGGTAAAAAAAAAAACAACCCTTCAACAGAGAAGCCTGACTGGTTTCGTAACCATCCCACTCTATTAACTATGAAGTAATTAACATCATTAGAGCGCTTTTACTCGGTAACTATTAGCTTTGAGTTTATTTTAGAAATTCAGCACCTGCTTTTGTCACCTTCAGGTGTGTACGCATTTGGTTTTCTGTTCATGCTTCCTCAGCTGTTTGTCAACTACAAGGTGAGTTTTTAGGACAAAGCATTAGTCAACTCTCTTTTAATACCTCTCTAAAAGTTGACTCTCTACCAGACGGACATCCTCTAAGACCGACACCTATTGTTGCTTCCAAAGATGTTCGTCTTTGAGCCGATATAGAATAACGGAGAATACGACAGTTCCGTATAGAATAGGATGATTCGGTGCAGCTCAGACTGTGATGATCTCTTATGATGGTATGGAATTTCGTGCTTAGCTATGGAAAAGCGAAAACTTGAACAAAAGTGAGAAAACAAGGGTGATCTTGCACTCATTACTGGTGTAAAGGGGTTAAAAAATCAGTAGAACCTCGCTACCTGAATACTCGGCAGTAACGTGACGACAGTGAACATTACGCTTTGATGTCAAGCTGCGTATACAGACTAGCCTAGGAACCTAGAGAGTCGTTGTCAATATCACTGAGCTGTACTTGCTTACCAGGAGATAGGACTTGCCTCAAGTCGACCTCACGATTTCACGAGTTTCTAAGCGAGCAGAGCGAGCTTTTTAGGCCGCGAAGCGGCCGAGCGAACAGCGAAGTCGCAAGCCGTCTTCGTCCTGCGGCATATTAGGGAGCTTTAGCATCGACGACGGCAACGGCAGCGAAAACGTCAGTTTTAAAATGAATTCCCGTTTTTTCAATCTTCGTCGCGTTTATTCCAATTTGCTGAAAATGGCAAGCGTAGGCGAATTTCCCCTGGAGTTGATTTCTTGAGGACCGCACTCAAGTTTAGAGAGAGAAAAAGAGATTCGTCGTCGCTTGTTTACGTCCTCCATAAAACTTGCAATTAGGCATTTTCACGTCGTAGTCGTGCAAGGACGGTAAAGAAATGTACAAAAATGCGTTGTGCACGTGCAAAGTTGTTGTTTTGCGTAATAAACCTTTTGCTTTTTTGACGTCCTCTGCTTTGCCGTCGCCGTCGTCGTTGCTAAAGCTCCCTAATAAGTCAGACGAAGGACTCTTTTGAAAGACGAACAAGAGGATTTATGAGAACACCTCCAAACATTCGGTTGGTTTTGTTAAAAGTGTTAAAATACTCGAACAAGACTCGGAAGGTCTCACGCTCAATCTCCTAATCCTAATTGACAGAACGTCAGCTGGAACCTGATCCCGGTTCACTTATAACTTGATGTACACCACTGACATTGTCTTTTCTTTTTTCTTCAGCTGAAATCAGTCGCTCATTTACCCTGGAGAGCCTTCATGTACAAGGTAGGTGGCTTCTTATTTACATTTCATGGGGCAGGAAGAGGTGAGTCTTTGTTGAGCGACAAAAAAAAATTCCTGTACGCCAACGCGCTGGAAATATCATGTCACAAAATTTACCTACTGCATTAGAAAGGTACCTGTTCTCGCTCGCAATCGCCGATATGGCAATGAAATCGGATTAATTGATCTCTTGGTTTGCAACTTTTAGTATCTGCACTATTTTTCAACATTTCTGCAAAAATGAGAAGGGTCGCTAATTTATACGTTTATTTAAATCTTCGTCGATGATTTCCTTTAAAATTGCTCTTAAGGTCTTTTTTCTCCATAGTGCTTTCCAACAAAGTTTGAAGTTTGTTGATATACTCTAAGGGTATAAACAACCGACGCCAAAACGGCAAAGTTTGCGCTGTCTTTTCAGGAGCCCTTAGTCACTTGTCTTATTTACAGTGTGTCTTCAAGGTTGATAATTGGTAGTCAGGCTCTTGAAAAACCTCATCGAGCCACCTAAAATTTGACTCTGTTTATGGTCCCCTTTCGCTGCAGCCTGCGATATAGAAATGTATAATTGCAAACATGTTTTTAGTGTTTGTAATCAATTAATGGTGACGAGTAAAATTTGTATTTGCAGGCATTCAACACGTTTATTGACGATGTGTTTGCATTTATCATCATTATGCCAACCGCTCACCGACTGGCTTGCTTCAGAGATGATGTGGTGTTCGTCGTTTATCTATATCAAAGATGGTAAGCTACGCACGTTGATTTTTTTTGATGTGTAGGCTAAATACGAGCAATTTTCCATTTTCATACAAGCCTTGAATTGCAAATTTTCTAAGAAGACAGAAATATTTGAGGTTACGTTTGGGTGTCTGTAAAACCAGAAACAGGCCCGGAACACCCCGGAACGCCCTTAACCCTTTCACTGCCAAATGTGGCCGGAGGCAAATTTGACCAAATTTCCACGTTTCATTTTCTAAAATTTTGACAAACAAATAGCATCATGTGAAAGTACAGACAGAGAGCTTTCATTTGAATGGTCACATCATAGGATTCCGTCTGCAGACTCAAGAGTTAGAGTCGCCTTACAAAACTCCATCAAATACTCTGGCAGTGAAGGGGTTGATTACAAACATTAGGCAAAAGATTACAAAACCAAAAACAGCCCCCCCCCTCCCCCCCAAATAAAGCCACACTAAACAAAAAGCAGACAAACAAACAGCAACAAAAAAGAAGCTGCTAACGTTTGGTAGTGGTATACAATACAGGTATTTCACGGATGCCGTTTCAAATTGGCGGGGTATTTTCTAGTTGCTCCTGCTCTACTGAAAAGAACGAGTGGAACAGTTCTAAGTTTCTTCTGGTCTTTCTTTCTACTTGCCTGCCGTTGACTACGTTTCCTCACTGGTATATGAAATTCCACAAGTTGCCAAAAAAAAAAATAAAGAAAAACCGCATTAGACGTTTGACCGAGGTAGAGGATTTTCCTAACCAAGTCTATTTCCGCAGGTTGTACCCTGTGGACATGAAGCGCGTGAACGAGTTCGGCGTGTCTTACGACAACCAGGAGAAGGAGCAAGTCAAGCCACACAAAGATTAATAATGCTTAGTTTATTGGTAAATTACTAGGTGTAGTTAAAACAAAAGTTAAGATAAAGTTCTTACATTCTCAGACTATTTAAACCAAAGTTTTGTTTCTTGTTTGTTTGTTTGTTTGTTTTTTTTGTTTCAGCTAGTTTCTCTTGAAACGACAGTGCTGCCAAACACATGAAAGAAAGTTGTCTTCCCCTCGAATCCTCGCCTAAGCGTTCGCTACCTTCCCAAAATACTCAACTTTAAAACTGACACAAACAAATGAGTAACTTACCGGCTGCCTTGCAGAAAATATTTGTCCCTCGCACTCGCGTCCGACTCACACATAGCACTCACGAATGTCTAACCGAGAGGTCGCAGATTGAAGAGTGCTAAGAAACTACAACACGTTTATCGCCATTTCCTTAAAAGCGTGTTCAGAAAGAATCATAGACTTTCACTTTCTTAACGCTCACAAAAATCTCCAATAAAATTTTGCCGGCCATTTTACTTCGCTGCATAGTGTGCTACGCAGAGGGGACTGGGACTGCTAACTCAAAACAGCGAACAAACTTCCTGGCAAATGTATCGGCAAATGGAGTTCTCTAGCCTGCGCAGCAAGCGTTTGCAATCGAGTCAAAGTTAGAGCGGGAGCGAAAAAAAAAGGTGGCCCTCTTTCCTCTCCCCCTCCCCCGTCATTCCTTTTTTTTTTGCTCTCGTCCCGACGTTCTCGACGACCTCGCACGGAAACGCTTGCTACGCAGGCTAGGAGTTCTCAGACGCTTTCAAGACAAAAATAGGTAGCTTGCCCTGTGCGGGTAGCAATTGACGTAAGTGATCACGATCACCATGAGTGGTATTGTATGATTGCTCTATTTTATTGTCAAAAAATTATTGAATTTCTCCCTTTCTTAATACACTTCAGGAAAAAAAGAAATAAAAGCATAACACTGAACTTAGGTTATCAAGGGGCGCAGGCGTTCGAAAGGCAAGTTGAAGGAAATGATTTGGCGCGCGAGACCGCGCGCGAGGGAGAAAGGAGGAGGGGAACGCCTGCATGGAGGCCATTGTTTCCCCTTGCGCGCCCGGAATCCCCTTCCCCTTTGCTTTCAAACGTCTGTCACGCAGGCTTAAGGATGTCAAGACTACTTTTTGTTGACAGTAATTAAGACGCTTGTCCCTGGAGAAGCATAGGCTAGATGTTTAAAAACGAGCAGGTTTTTCTCCGGGGAAGACCAGGTGACAGAGGATGGTGTGACACTCACGCTGTAACCAGACGGATAATGCACCTCTTCGTTCAAATACACTTTGGATTCTGTTGAATTACAAGTTTGGGATACTTCGTATATTAAAATGAACTCTTTCGTTGTTAAATCAAAACTAAATTTCACAGTGTTTCCGGCAACGGCCTGAGGATAAGTGCGCGTTGTGTTTTGAACGTAAATCTGGTTGAGACCTGTTTCATTCCATAGCGAACAGCACTTTTCGCTTTTCGGGGAGGGGCGGGATGGGTGATAGGCTTTGTAGTCCCATCCGATCCATGATTGCTGATAGACGTCGGCGGCAATCATTGCTTCAAACATGGGGGCTGTTGTCCCCGCACTCGTCAGAAACTCCGTCATCATTCCTCCGCATTGTAATCTCTCGAGATCTTTCTTGCGCGCCTCGAAGTTCTCAATGAGTTCCAGTGAGGGCGGGATGTAAAAGTGATAGCTTAGAACGCTTCTGTTGCGGTAGAGGTCACCACCTGGTACGCTCTCAAACCCGACCCCAAAATCATCCCAAGTGACGCCCTCAAAGAAGATACAGTGCTGATCATCATGCTGCCGAATTGCCTTGCTTAGAACCTCATAGGCGGGAGCCAGATTCCTTTTGTCAGCAACACCCGGGATGAAAAGCAGTGGATCAGCGTAAACATCCCCAGCCCAAGGCTCGTTAATAAGCTCGTAGCCGATAACGTTGGGAAAATCCTTAAAACCGGAGGCAGTCTTCGCCCAGAATGCCGCCCATCTGTCTAGCAAACCATCGGTGTTGTTGTAAAGATTCTGAAAAGCCACGCTCGTCGCTTCGGTTAAATAATAATCTGACCACACGAACTTAGCACAATCTTCGTCAGTCGGCATGCCTGTTTTGGGATCGTTTACGTACGGGTCATGCAGTGGCTCAGGAAAGCCTTTTGCGTTTCCAGTGTTTACTGCCCAGGTGGGCAAACCCTCAACACAGAGCACCCTAGAGAAGGCATCTTGATGCATGTCGAGCAGGACGTAAATGCCGTATTTTTCAGACAGCGTGACAATCTTTTGCATGACCTGCATATAGGTCTCGTTGTATTTTCCTCTGCTCGGCTCAAGACCAGGCCACATGAATCCAAGCCGAATAACATTTAAGCCAAGGGATCTTAAAAGTTGCATGTCTTGCTCGGAGAAAGTCCCATCTGAGAAACCTTCGGTTTCCGGATGCCAGGGAAAACTCTTCACAACCACATTTGTACCGTGGAAGTACACCTCTCGACCCAAGCTGTCCACCAACTTTTGTCTCTCTGGGTTCACAGAGATTGGTAGAAGATTTGCCGCTGAAAACACAGCTAAGAAGCCGAGTGCTAAGAACTCCGACAGCATTACGATGAGAGTGCTGCAATTTGCACCGTAATTTCTCAATTCAAGAAATTGGGAAATCAGTCACGAGATTGCAGTTTCAAGTTTCAACTACCATTCCGTTTTCGGGTCAGAGTCACGCAATGCTCCCCTCCCTCACGAGACTAGAGCATTTCGAGATTCTCTGATCAATCTCAGATTGCAGTTAGCGCCCTCTAAGATTGTTTCTCTAACATATCACTGCTACTTTGAGTGAGTGATTGTTTGGCAAATAAGTTATTTTAACGAAGACATGGATGGGCCTGGAAACGGGTGGTGGTGGGTGTGGCTGGCTTTGGGTGTTTGAAAAAATGGGATTACACCACTGTCAGTTCTCCTCGGTATTCGTAAAAACGTCCTCCGTATTATCTGCCCAAATAAAAGGTTAGTAAATAAAAAATGTAAATAATAATAATTCTCAAATTTTATGACCTCCTAGTTTTGGATTGTAACGCAATCCTAAACGAGAGGTGAACCAGTAGAGAAAATGAGACTACAGCCAGTTTTATAAGCGCTTTTTACTGAAGGTAGTTGCACCCTCCGGGGAAGTTTGGGCAGACGTGTACCAAAAAGGTCTTCAATTTTAATGTGACAAAGATCGTTCATTTCTCTGCCCTGTTTAAGCCAAGAGACCTTTGCTTTTATTTTTCAAACTCCCGAGTATTCGTACCCTTTGATTTGCTTCGGTCAGACCAAGAGCCTCTCTTGGTCAGACACAATCGATTTTTCATTTATTTTTCCAGTTAAGTTGAGTTATTCATTTTGAGAGCCTTGCACCTGACCGATCAAAACGACCGGTCAACTAAAAGTTTGTCCGGACAAAGCAAATGGTGATATTGGCTGGACATTGTCCTTTGACCGGCCGATATTTTGAGACTTAAAATTGAAGGCAAGGCTGATCGATCAGCTAAGGTTTACAAATTTATTTGCCCAATATTTCGACTAGACAAAACCAGTCTTCATCAGGGGCTAGTCCTGCTGGGAGTGCCCCTTGGGTACAGCTCACACTGATACCTCCTGATAAAACTTGTTTGATATCTTCTTGTCATAACTCTAAACAAGTATTTGGTGTATGGGCAAGGGCGCTAAGTGATGACCTCAGCACAGAATTGACCTAAAACAGTAAAATTCTTGTGACATAGCCGCTTTAAATGTAAGGACTGAGTTGACAGGTTAATAAGGAATGAGGCTCTTTATTGGTGTTGGACTCAGTTGCAGTTGTCAAATATTACAGATTCTTTGAGGAACCTACGAAATTTTTCTTTTTCTTAAGGATCATTAATTTGTGGCTGAAGTCAGGGGACTGGTCAGGAAATTCAGGGGCATCAACTTTAGTGACACGTTTTTCGTTGATCGCCCCACTTCGATTTGAAGCGAAGAATTTTGGTTTCGTTGGGTCATCTTTTACCGATTTGCAGTAACTTTTGTCAAAACTTCCCTTGGCTACGTTTTGTGGAAAGTCACCCATCATGTTTCCAGCTTGTTTGTATCTGCCTACAATGTAGGCACATTTCATTGATCCTTGAGTAGATTCAGCTCTTCCAATGCCAAGCTCAGTGCTCCCTTTCCACACTACTTGGGTGAAGTGACCCGTGCCTTTTGAAAACCCACCGCTAGCGAAATCGTAACCAGGTTCACAGACTTCGTTGTACCTAGAAGCAATACACGTATAAGTCTGTTTGAATTTTGCTAACATTATTACAGGTACCCCCCAAAACTGTAGTTTCACCACCGACGATTAAGATCAAGGTTTTTTTTCTCAGTCCTAAGGCTCTTGAGTGCAGAGGCGGAAGTGGGAGAGGGGGCTCTTTGAACCCTGTGAGGTTGAAAAAGGGATTATCGAGGCGTCAGGCGTATCTGGGGTACAAAGGGTTTCAATGGACATCGAAGGAACCTCCCCCCCCCACCCCCAAGATCCGCCCCTGTTTTGACATCAAACCGAGAGCCATAATGTCCATTATGGCTCTTGATCAAACGTAAAATAATGGATAGAAGATTGACATCCTTTAAAACCGGTTGTTTAACACTCACCAGTTTGTCACAGCCTCTTCCATGGACTGTGGACCACTGGTGGAGCATCCCATGGAAAGATTCTCTCCTTGTCCCTCCCTCTCTTCCCTTTGTGAATGCATCAGTGCCCCCATTGCAGCTATTTTCTTAGCATAGGCTTTAGCCTGGTCGCACATCTCTCTATTGAGTTTCATTGGTGGTGCTTCGTGTATTTGGCGAAACTCGTTATGTTTTGCCAAACCGGCTTTTTCTTCTTGAGTAAATGCTAAAAAACAACAAGATACCGTCTAATATAGAAAGCGATATGAGAACATACCTCAGAAATAGCCCATTTTACAGTATCAGGTTGAACGAGGCTGGATTTGACCTTGTTTTTGATACAAACCTTTCTGCATTATTATGTAAATCATGTTATTTTTCTGCTAACCAGTAATTTTTAAGCATAATTTCCTTTATAAAAGGAAGCAGGTTTGTACCAATACAAGGTCAACTTCAGCCTCACGTTCACTCAAAGGCCAGGATACTAAGCCCATAACTGTAAAATGGTCTATTGTAAACAAGGATTGGCCAGGGGCACCCAACTCGGAAAATATCTGTTCGGAAGACGATTTGAGATCTAGAATTTTCGGAACATTTGTTGTAAAATTTCTTGCTTGTCTGCCTCTCCTAGGATTTTCGAACATCTAAAAAATGGTATAATTGCCCATCTTCAATGGATTTTTACCCTGAAAAGGTCACCTAGAATTTTCGGGACCGTTTTTTTCTGGCTGAAATTTTCGAAAAGGTAAGTTTTGATCCCTATAATTTTCGGATCACTAGACTTTCAGCTAGGAAATCCGAGCAGATAAAAAATTTTTAGGAGATAAAAATATGCCTATATCTACTGTTTAAATACTAAAATACGTTTAACAATGCCATGTTTAAGTGGTTTTGAACTATATTCTCGTTGGGTGCCCCTGATTCGCATATAAATACATTGTTTCATTACTTTACCATTTTTACCAAAAACCAGGATGCGTTCGATTGTAATTTGTAGATTTAGCTAGGGCTAAAAACGAAGCTCTCGTTCATATTAAGTTTATAGTTTAATCAAACAAAATATAAAATCTTGTAATTCTAAGCGGCGACGGCGACGAAAACGGCCAAAAAATTCAGAGGAGGTCTAGCCTAATAAGCAGAAGGAAAAAAAAAAAACTTTTCACTTGCAGCACACCTTTTTTGTGCATTTCTTTGCCGTTTACGTTGTTTAGTGCTCGACTACAACGTGAAATAAACTTCCAGAAACTTGCTAGTTGCACGTTTTATGAATCGAGGAAGTGTTGTATGTGGTCCTGTTCATTTTGCGTTCGCTGCCTCTCATTTTTACCTCGGTGGCCGTGGCATTTCTCATTTCCTCACCGCCGCTATAAAATTTTCCTGTTTTTCTTACAACGAAATCGGTCTCCTTTGTTTTTGTTATCTCTCGCTCTAACTCTTTCCCTGATATCCACGTCAATGTAGACATTAAAATTTAGTTGAGAGAAAGAATCGGCTTTGTTGTTGTTGTGTTTGTTCTAAAAGTCAGGGTAGCCATGCAATTTACCGCCGAAACGTGCAGGTGCTTGAAATAAAGGCTTACATAAAGGGGTGCGGGACGTACTTACGGACCAAAACGTCTTGGATGCATAGATAACCAATTCTTCTCATCCATAATGCTACGTTCGACGCGCACGAGCTCCGCTATCTATCGTTTTCCGTAACAGCAAAACGAACAAGGTTTTGTTACAAATCTCTCAATCTAACTGAATTTTGGACCAATTGAAAGAACATGCATGTGACTATTTTATTTCAAGCAGATTTCAAGACAATGCAATGGATTAAATGCAAAAAAGAAGAAGCGATTTCTGGAGTTAATTCCATTTATTCCTTTTCCGTAATATGGTCAATCAAAGTGCGCAACAAGTTTCGTTTAGCCACGAGCCAGATAAACCACAGAACTCATAATACCAGACAGTGCCGTATGTAGTAAATAAACACCTTTACTAAGTACATTGTGTAATGAAACATGTAAAGGTATTTAAAACGTAGTATGTGAAGATTTTAGGCAATTTTTTAGGTAGTAGATTCACAATAACCGTCACGAATACTAGGGACAATTCATGCCCAGTTAAAACCCTAGCACTCTACTGTAGTTTAAAACACTAGTGCTATAGTAATAAATTCATGATAAAACTGTACAGTATCAACTACACCAAACTATACGAACTACACTAACCTACGCAAACTACGCCAAACAATGCGAACGACACCAAACTACAGCAACTACACTAAACTACACGAACTACATCAAACTAAAGCAACTACAGCAACAACACCAAACTACACCAAACTACGGCAACTACAACAAACTAAAGCAACTACAGCATCAACTCCAAACTACAGCAACTACACCAAACTACAGCAACTAACAGCAACTACTCCAAACTACACGAACTACACTAACCAAGCAACTACAGCAACTACAGCACCGGCACCAAACTACAGCAATTACAGCAACTACAGCAACTTCACCAAACTACAGCAACTACGTCAACCACACCAACTTCAGTAACTAGAGCAAGTACACCTAACTACAGCAACTACAGCAACTACAGCAAGCTACAGCAACTACAGTAACCGGCCACACCAAACTACAGCAAACTACAGCAAACTACGGCAACTACACCAAACTACAGCAACTAAACAAACTACAGCAACTGCAGCAAACTACAGCAACTATACTCCAAACTACACAAACTTCACCAACTATACACGAACTACAACAAACAACAGCAACTACACGAACTATACGAACTAAACCAAACCAGTACAGCGGCTATACCATACTACAGGAACTAAAGCAAACTACAGCAACTACTCTTACTACTGTAGAATCCTAGAATTTTACTTGGGAATGAATTGTCTCTATATTCGTGACGGTTATCATGAATTCATTACCTGAACCGCATTATCTGGTGCTTTTTAGGCTAGAATCATATAAGATTTGTTTGTTTGTTTTTGGATGGCTTCATAAGGTGATGACTTACCTCCTGTCCAGGCTCCTTGCCCAGTTGTTGGCCCAGGCTGTGGTGTGCCTGTGCTCTTTGTTGGCCCGGTGTTCATTGTCGGCGGAATCGGCGGTGTGCCTGGGTTCATTGTAGGCCGAACGGGTAGTGTTGGCCGAATCGGCGGTTTGCCTGTTTTCATCGCTGGCCGAATCGGTGGTATGCCTGTGCCAGTTGGTAGTTGTAGAGGTCCCTGAGTGGGTATCACTCCTGTAGCCCCGGGGTTTGCTATCTCAACATGTATGTCTAACGAGGCCTTGCCGTTTGCAATTTTTCCACCCCCAGAGATACGTATATTGGACTGTCCTAGGAGTGATTCAAAAGTAGGGAAAATAATTATTAATTAAAGAGATGTATAGCACCTGAGTTTTACTCGGTCGATAAAGGCGTTTTTCCCACTCTCTTTAACTTTTTGACCATGGCAACGTCAAAATAGCAAATTTGATTAAAAAGTTGACATTACAGAAGAAAAATTACCTTGGGATGATCCGATGGTGAGCAATAAATAAAAGAACCACATGTCCTCTTTACTGAATTCCTAATGAAACGGTAAAAAATTTTAATTTTTAACTTTTATACTACTACATCAGAAATTTCTGCAATTTGATTGGCTTAGAGCAGTGGTATTTCAGCTTAATTTGAAATACCTACATGTGAAAATTACAAACCTTTTGTGGGTAGTAGTATAAACAAATAATAGCATGATTTGTACATGATATTTGGCATAAATACCACTCGTGATATTTCAAAATTGTCTCAAATTACATATAACAATTTTGAAATATCATTCGTGGTATTAATGCCAGATATCACTACAAATCATGCTATTACCTGTACTAATTTCTTCTGTTTCACCTAAAACCCGGGGGTACTTGGGTTAATATTTGCTGGGTATGTGCCGCTGGCCTCTCAGAGCCCGTGACCCTATTATAGTCTACTCTGTGGCCAACTATAGAGCCGATCTTAGTCACTTTTGGACAAATGTGTAATTTTCCTGATCCCAACTTAGTCACTTTCTATTTATGTATTTACCTTGTATTGAATGAAGCACAATTTACTTTTCACCTACAGTACAAACATTCTGCTACGTTTGCTAACCGTAAATATAAAGAACTGTCTTACCCCCAAAATTAGAAAATGTACGACCCCATAGTAACTCTATTGACAATGCGACCCCATAATAGTCTATCAAGTCGTGAAAATGCGACCCCATCCAGCGGCACATCCCCATTAGCCTTTTATAAGAAAGTACCCCCCCCCGACCTAAAAATCGAGGCATTGCATTAACTCAGTTGTACAAGTATGAGCAACTGCAACACGCAGAATAAAAGATTTAAATTCCTTAGGAAAAGATCTTGAAGTCTTCTTTATGAACATAAAAGCAAAGGCTGGACAAAGATATTTTGCCACAGTGTATTAGCTTACACCCGGATGCGTTATGTTTCTTGTCTTGTGCCCATCCCTCTCAAGCAAATGCGTAATTTCTTTAGAGAAAATAAGGGAAACCTCAGGGGAAAGGAGTTTGAGAGCTTCCACGAATTACTGGTCATTTTTAGAAACTTTTTAAATCGAAATTCGAAAAGTTTTTCATTCAATATTCATCACACAACTCGAACTGCACCGAGATTTCAGCCTATATCACATATAAATATTACTGAGTTCCATAATCATCATTGGACGTTAAATGAAACGCATGCTTTAACTTGCTGTTGCTTTAGTTAGATAATGAGAAAAATCTTAAAGAGATTCCCCTCCGTATTTCCTCGATCTCTCAGCCTTCAGTTAAATTATTTCTCTGCCCTTTTCTTCGCTATCATTTAATGTGTTGGATCTCAGCAACAGAGAATAATATTAAAGACAGAGAGGGATACGCCATGAAGATTAGCCTTTGGGCTATGTGTGAGTTTCACAAAAGTTATTTTAAGACTAATTAAACCGTTATTCTCTCTTGATCTCAGAAAAAAGTAAGAATTATCGACTTTATTTATCATCTAATACTCCATCAAGAGCCTCGTACTAAAGGTATTTTAGTTTGACTTCAGTTGACTAAGTAGTTAGGTATTACTCGCATTAGATAGAACTGAGGATTGAACTTCGAGCCTCGGGAGGAGGCTTTCACCATCCATTGTAAGAGCAATGTTTAGACTAGGAATCTGATAAAACCAGATCACACAAGTCAGGTTTCTAACTTCTTGTTAAAAGAGAGGTTACAAAACAACGCCCCACAACAACGACAAAAGAACTTAGCCTAGAGCAACAAAATCAGGAATTAACCGCCACTAGAAGCAATATTTTTACGGTCATTGAATTTCATACTCTTTGTCTTAAGTGTCCACCAGGTAGTCAGTTCCATTTTGTGGGTCTTTAAATATACTCGCATTTTAATACACTCGCATATATATATGACTCTACAAGCGACTCTGTTTTCTTTTCTAAGGCAGTATTCAATGATAACGCCGGTTTAAGTCAGATTCATTGTGACGTAGAGGCCAAGAAATTCTAATGGTAAAGGTTTTGTGTTGTTGGCGCGCCTTCGAAAATATTGTGATCTTTCACTGGAAGCCCAAATTTGACCTCGCGTTGTCGTCCAAAAGTCTGGGAAAGGGGTATACTTAAGTGCAAAGTTATAGTTATATTTATTTTCTTTAAAAAGGTTCTAATAATTTATGGTAACCTTTCCAGCCGAGTTACAGGTTACTGTTGCAGGATGAGAAACCAAAAAATGGTCGTAGTGACAATCAAGGCTAAAAGCACGCAAACCTAAACTAACAAAGGAAAAAAAGTAATCTTTAAAAAAGACAGTTCAAACACTATTTATACCAAAATTCAGATCTGGTTTCTATCCCGGCCAGAAAGTTTCAGAGAAACGTATACCAGTGCCATAACTCACCCTTGCTAGTTGGTAATTGTCTTAACATTAACCCCAGCCGAGATAACACAGGTGTTTTCCACAGACGAAGAAACAAACTTAGAAACAAATGGATAGAGGTTAATGTAATACAAGCCAGACTTACCTTACTTGCTTCCTTACAGTTTCTATTCAACAGAGAGTGGAAAGTAATCGTTTGGAACAGCGGTGGTACAGGTCGTGAATGGTCCTTTGTTCACCTTTTACATCAGAAATGACCTGATTGTAGCTGGCCTTACGTAATACAGGTTAGGGTTAGTAATATTCTAACTGACGCTTGTAGACGAGACAAATACGCGCTTTCCTTTAATTTTGTAATATAGTGTTCATATACAACATGAATACCGAAGCCCTTACTAGAATCTGTCGGAGATTTTGTTATGTTTTTTCCAGGGACAAACTTCCTCTGGTTAGTCAGGAGACGTTTTCTACTCTGTTCACAGTGTGACTAGTTGTGGAACCTGCATGTAACATCCCTTACGATTACAGACCGATTTTAAGTGGGCAGTTTTCATAGCCCCGACTGTTCACTCAAACAAATGCTGTGTTTCACTGTTTTGTTATTATTATTTTTGAATTTGCAGGATACACATGCTTAACAAAAATTGGAAAAAACGAGCAAAAACAACAACAAAAAAAGCAAACCAACAAAACAGAACAAAACAAAAACCAAACGGAAAGAACAAGAAATTAAGCTATGATAAGATAAACCAAACCCAGTCACACGTACGCATCCATACCTACAAACACCTGACCAAATATATTGCCATTACAGAAATAAAATATCTAATAGCATTCCATAAATACATTTTTAAATGTCGATAATATCGAGTCTTAAAATATAATCTATCGGTAACGGCAATGATTAACTTTTCCCGATTTTCAACCCCCGCTATCAGCATGCTGAGGTTTTTTTTTCTTCTATCGCTCTAATATTTTGAAAAACTGTTACTACTGTTGAGAAATAATTCTTAGCCCTTTTTCTGTGGTGATCGTATTCGCTATGCACAGGTTTGATTAAAATGGGGCACTTTCAATTCATTCAAAATGGCGGGGCCAAGATGGCAAATGGTTCCAGTTCCTTCGTTAATAATAAATGTCGTCATCACGACGTCACTGCCACTACTTAAGGTTATTAATGTGTCAGTCAACTTCTTGATTTTATCGCAGAATAAGTATTCATTTTTCGCTTCATGGCTACTTTGAGGGGAATTTGAATTCTGACAATGCAATGAATTCAACGATATGACGTCATAATGACAATATTACGTCGTTGTGTCGATCAAGTTATGCCTTGTTGAGTTCATTATTCTGTGTATAATTTTGGTGGCCGTATCATGAGTGGTTGTGAAGTTATAGAGAGGGCTCTCTAAAAGACCCCTCCTCGTTCGCAGGTAGCAAAAAAAGTCCGGTCTCCACAAGGCTTTTGCAATAATTTGTCATGTGATCAACTTTCTCTAAATAAGAAAACAGTAGGTTTTTGGAAAAAGCAAACATTGTAACGAGAAAATGGAATCATAATGTCATTTTATTTCAAGGCATTTCCCGTGGCTTATCGGCAGTGTGCAGGTAGCTGCAGGTGGTGGCTCACCCTAGGCCTGTCCAATCAGGAGATCAAACGTGCTTAGGTCTGTATAAATTAAAGACTTATATTGTTATATGTTTCGTGTGTCCCCTCCAGCTATTGCCATCAGCCTGTACGGACATCCCTCTTGTCGCTTGGTTGAAAATTTTTCCTACCGCTCTTGTCAGACTCTGACCTGCCACTGTCTATATCTTCTTATATATTTTATATGCTTTATCTTGTCGTTAGTGACATCTAATTAGCAGCGGATTTTTCGTCCCCACCTTTCCTGAAGAGATGATTAAAATAATTGGAGATTTTTATTTTGGTTTAAAATAAAAACGTCAATGTTTTGGCCATTTATCCCAAACAGTTGACATTCGTTCTTGAGTTATCTCTTCGCGATCAGAAAACCAGTGCGACGCCATGCGGAGCTTTCGATCGTTTTCTTAAACTCGGATTGGGAAGACTCGCAATAAAAAAAGATTTGAGTAGGAACTCAAAGAACATATTGAAATTAGGTAAGTTTTTAATTTCAGCCGTATATCTCAAAAGAAGCGGATGCAACGGCCGCCGAAAATTAGAGTCTTGGGGAAACACAATTCTTGCCTCCCAGTCACGTTTGAATGGTTTTCCCATGCAAATCCTTGTAAATTTTTACTTCGGCGGAGCGCGAAGTAAAGGATTCGCGACGCTCAGGAATGTATCAAAGTTGACATTTTTGGGACAAGATTGGGCATGTAAAGTCTGCAGGTTTTCGGTTTATCTCGAGATCACTTCGATTTCTTCTATTTATTCTTTAACTTATTGGAGGAAGAAAGAATCCCGGGGTTTGAACCAACTCACCTGTGTGACCCGTCAGATCAGAGGAGACTCTAAGTTGAGGGATTAGCCGATTGCGCTACTGCGACCCAAGGTAGTTCGGGATATGAAAAATAGCTATGAAATTATGCACTAGTTTCGGGACAAGATTGGGCGTGCAAGTTCGTGACTTTTCGGCTTGTTTCGGCTTTTTCACGAAATGAGACCGGACTACTTCGTGATATCTTGAGATCACTTCGAGTTTAGTCTTTAATTTACTCGAGGAATAAATAGAGGATATTACATGGCCGTGCAGAGACACGAAATTTCTCTTCGAGAGTTGAAAAACATTTCACGAGTGAGCCCTCTTTTCTAACTGTTTTATTATGAATTTAAAGTTTCAAAATGCTGCACAAAGACGTTTTGTCTCTGTTGAATGTTACGTAGTAAAATTGCTTTCACGCGTTAAGTGACTTTCTCGAATGTTCTCTAGGCTTTTGGATTATTTATAAATAATTAATTAGGGCATGTTTACATTTCAGCATGAGTCAGCAGATTTGCATCAGTTACTGAAATCAGAAAATATGTCGAAAAGCTACTACTATTCGCCTTTTTAGTATTTTCTAGAACCTTAAGTCAAACGGTATACAAGTTCCAAAAGAGTTCTTTTGACGATCTCTGTTTTTTTTCCACTAGTCTGGAGTGCTGTGTTTAGTTCAAGTGTGACGATCGGATGCCGTGTTTTAAAGCTCTGTAATGAGTATGTTCCTTTGGTATTAAACAAAGTATTAAACTTCCTTACGTTAATCCGACATTCCTGCGTGCTGATCGTCAGTGAATAATTATCCTCAAAACATTCGAACTCCTAACATCGAGTTTTAGCCAATTCCATGCTCAACGTAATTGACTCCTTGCCCATGCCTTACATATCTTTAACCAGTACTTGAGACTGCTATGCTGTTTTTGAAGCCTGATCTAAGAAAAATAGAGAATTCTTTTTCCATTTTTTGTTTTGTTAGACTTGTTATTCACAGCCAGTAACCTCATATTTGACTTAGGTCTAAACGTTTAGACCCAAGTTAAATTTAGAAGGATTTGTATAGAGTCATCAGAGCATAACTGGGCTAATATCTCAGAGACAATTTGTCCCGAAATGCTAGTTTTTGGCAAATGGGCCTCTTGGATGTTGCTCTTTTCGGAACATCCTGAAAAATCCCATAATTTCACAAATTAACACCTTACTCTTACCATATTTCATTTCTTAGTATTCCTCCGCATTTACAATTATTAAACAGTTCCACGACCATGACGCCGAAGTGTACGCTCCTTAGCGTCTTGTTATTTCCAAACTACCGTAAGATCTTTCTCCCCTACTCATTCAAGGGCAAAATTTTTATGTTATTTATAACAGAAAATGCTGTAACGCAGAAGGGAAAGGTTTAACGCAAGAATTTTTATGGAAAACCACTTAACCGTGACTGAGTGGCAATTGTAAGAGCAACCTCGTTCCCAGGTTCTCTCTCGCTTCGTAGGGACGGGTAGGAAAGAACAGTAGGAACGAGGTTGTTGCAAGAGTTGTTTTTTTCCCATACAAATGTATTTTCGATAGCCGTTGCGATCTCTACTTTTGAGATATTCAGCTGAAAATTTACACGTTACCAAATTTTGATATGTTCTTTCAGTTCCTGCTAAAATCATTTTTCTAAAATGAACTGTTTTTGTGTTCACACAAAGTTGATCACGTGACCAGCAAATGCAAAGGACCTATAGGGTTAGTACAATCCAATTCCAATTGTGTTCCAAATGAATCCATCGTAACTTAATACACAGATTAAGAATATGTTTAAGGATATGTTTCCGGTTCGGTAAAGTCTTTATAGTGACCCACGCGATAAGCTTTTTTTCTCAAATCTTTTCTCGCGGTTTTGCCTCAAGTGACTTCTGCCTTCGGCCAAAGATCTGCCTGCCTGCAGCCGAAACTGAAGCATCCCGCCGCACGTGAGAAAAATCCTCTGGTGAGCAGGGTACGGTTCAATACAACTCTGTCTCAATGTTTGGTTTTCTATTGTGGCCATGAAGATGTTAGCAAAAGCAATGGCCATCTTTGTTTCATGGCTGTTCCATGGGTCTGTAGGTAGTTGCTATAGGATAGTGTATTTCTCTTAGATACTTGGTAGATACGGGGGAGTATTCCAGGGAATGGGCGTGTGCCACCTGGTTCTCCAGATCCTGACCCTATTTCAGACTAAAAAATGTTATTTTCCACACCCGTTTTCAGCCCCGGTCTCTTAAATCCACACCAATTTTTAGACCTGCCATAGGTAGAATTTAGACCAAAGCTCAAACACGATGTTTTAAAATCCTTTCGAATTTGCTTATTACTCTTTCTTTCTGATGCATTTGCAATTGAAACGACAAATACGTTCATACACTGCTGTAGTTTCCTCGAAAACCATACCCGATTCCAGACCAAAATGGCAAAATCTATACCCGTTTTCAGACCAAAACGGCGCAAAAACCGTTTGGGGCGGCACATGCCTATCTGGCTTATGTAAGGGAGTATCCTCCCGTGGGTAGGTATTTCCCTCCATCAAAATCTTTGTATGCATACATACGGTGGTTAGGCCCTCATCGTGTGGTATGTTGGTGTACAGGCGAAGCTTTTGAAGATCATTATACTTCCTTTACGACTAAGTGCAAAAGTCTCTGGAGTCGTTTGTTGCTCGCCATCAATTTTTAAACCAAGTTTAGGGAGGAGGAATGGAGGAGGGAGAAATAGCCCCAAAACGTATGGAGGAGGGAGAAATTGGCTAAAAAGTAGGGAGGATGGAGAGTTACCCTTTGCCTCCTGTACCTCCCCGCTCCTCATGCGAATTCGAGGAAAATTTTTTTGGCGGCAGAGCCTGCATGCGGGCTACTGAGTTTTGAATTACGTCCCTTTCAAGGTGTCAAGACACTAACCAATAGGAGCAAAGGAAATGTCAACAAACTGACAGGAAGTTGCATGTGCAGATGTTATGCTAAACCGCATCAGAGGTCAAATCCGGTCAGAAACAGACACCAAAGAAATCCATTTGCGTGAAGCTTACCACTTCATTTCGACAAGCGGCAAAAATAATCTCCCCATAACAGTATCTACCCGCTAGAACAGGTGTATTGTAAACATGACCTCGCGTGAATGACCTCTCCGTGTGAGACAAGTGACAAAAATAGGCTACTGAATTGGCTTAGTCCAAATCAAGAATCGTCCAGAGCATAACAATCTACCCTTTGGAAAGAAAACTGTAAATAAAACAAAGCAGCACTTGAAGCAGAAGTAGTGCAGGCCTACCGACGCTTTTTATCATTAAGTTTGATGTGTGTTTATGTGTGGATGTTTGTGCCGCTTGTCCATAACATGAACGCTCTAAAAAGCGTTGAGTCTCGCTTGCTTGGAGATTAGATAAGAGATAAGACGCTCTAAAAGTATTGACCCGAACTTGCTTTGAGATAAGACCCTCTGCATAACGTTAATTGTGAGTTCGCTGAACTTGACTTTCGTCTCTCCCCCCCCCCGCCACCCCCCAACAACCTCACAACTGCCGCTGCGAACACTTCGTGCAAGCTGGTTACCGGACTACGTAAAAAACAGTAAACTGGTCCTTTCCTAATCAGGCTGAAAGAACTCTTTTTCAGGGCGGGTTTCTTGCTTTGGATTGACTACTATTCTGAAATTAAGGGTACAAAATAGTTTTTACAAACCCCTTTCACCATGGAATTTCGTGGCCACCGAAGCCGAGCTTATACAATTGTCATACACTGTAGTAGCCAAAGTTGGGAATGAAACTTGTCTAGCGAATGTTGCTTCAAATGAAGGGATTCTAGAGGTAATTCCCAACCATTTATTTCTAAAGATCAGTGAATTTTTTTAGCAAAACCAACTATGAAAATGAAGACCTAGGGTTGCCTCTCCAGCTTTAAGTATAAGCTCCTCCTATCCCGTTAAGTGTCCTCAACCAAAGATGGCTAGAAAGATACAGGACAGACTTAATTACAATGACGTTGTCTTAGAAAATACTAAAATGAAAAATAAAAAAAAATAAAGAAGAAAAAGACAAATAAGAATTAACTAGGCTTATTAATTAACCTCTATTCGCTATTTGCACATTTCCCATAATTAACCTTGTTCGCCCCCAAAATTTTGCTTAACCTTTGTTTTCCAAATCTCCTGGGTATTAACCTCGTTCCAAGAGAAATTGAAAACAATGCTTATGCAAAATTTTGGGGGCCAGATTAACGAGGTGCATTTTGGGAGATGTACAAGTGGCGTATAAGTGTTCATTCAATTTCAGTATGGGCGCAACAGCAAATGCGACGTATGAACGCGTATATAGTAAATAAATGCTGACTCCATAGGTATTTTTTGGTAGGTCTAATTTATTCCTTTTTGGCCTAAGGCAAAAAAGTGCCTGCCGAGAACAGGAGCTTTTATTTAAGACCAATTAATATGCATCCAACTAATAAGTTACACTTCTAGAAGGATCTACAAAGATTTTTTCTTCACAAGCAGCTCAATCTTTTGGGCTGGCTTCGTGTTATCATGATATTCTGGAACATCGACTTTAGCAACACGAATTTCGTTAAAAGGCCCTTTCTCATTTTGATGGACGAATTTTGCCCAGGGTGAATCAGAATTAGAATTACACTGACTGCTGTCGAAACTTCCTTTTTTTACATTTTCTGGAAAGTCACCCATCATGTTTCCAGCTGGTTTGTATCTGCCTACAATATAGGCACATTTCATTGATCCTTTGGTAGATTCAGCTCTCCCAATGCCAAGCTCAGTGCTTCCTTTCCAAACCACTTGGGTGAAGTGACCCGTACCAGATGAAAATCCACCGCTACCGAAATTATAGCCAGGATCACAGACTTCGTTGTACCTAAAAGGAATTTTCAAAATTTTTTTTACTTAAATGAAAAAACTAGAAGGAAGAGAAATCAAAATGTGAAAGAGACAACATGGTGCACGGCTTTGCTCAGCTTATAATGCAGACTGGTTCATCGAAACGCGAGTTTGTGATTCAATGTCAGCTGGGAAAAATGGCGGGAATTTATGACTGACCGAATTTCCTGATTTTTTAATTTTACTCAAAAAAAAAAAAAAAATACTCACTTCCTGGGACTTTTCAATTTCCAGAGATATTGCAATGACTGACCCACCGATCAGCGTTCAAGAGTCAAATGTCATAGAAAATTACCACGCAAGACAGAAAAATTCAAAGATGGAAAAAAGGAAGATGAGGAAGAAGGACGAGGAAGCTAATGGGACTTGGATGGCAGCAAAGTCGAATTCAATGACGCATTTACATCTTTTAAAATTAATTAACCCTTAAAGCCCTTTAATCAAAATTTTAATTCTTATTTGTTTTTCTATATGTTTCCTATAGAAGGTGTGGGGAGAAGTTGCGGAAGAATCAACCACATTCATCTTGTGTAATCATTTCTTTCATTCTCGTCACTGATGCGTTTTATAAAGCATTGCTATCACAAGGAGAATTTTGATGCTGATCAATCTTAGGGCTTAACTCTCACCAGTTTGTAACAGCCTCTTCCATGGACTGTGGACCTCTGGTGGAGCATCCCATGGAAAGGTTCTCTCCTTGTCCTTTCCTCTCGCTCTTATCTGAATGCTGCAGTGTCCCCTTTGCAGCAAGTCTCTCAGCGTAGGCTTTAGCCTGGTCACACATCTCTCTATTGAGTTTCATTGGTGGAGCTTCGTGTATTTGGCGATACTCATTATGTTTTGCCAAACCAGCTCTTTCTTCTTCAGTGAACGCTTAAGAAAACAGCAAACAAAATTTTTAGGGACCCCCTTATTGTTGGAAGACCAGCTTTGAATATTCCTACTTTTTAATCCACTGCGATATAAACGGACAAACGGGGGAGGGTGGAAAACCACAAAAATATTTATGTAAGAGGAAAAAATGACTGCGGAAGAAATAAGGGAAATGTTAGGGACTGTTCTTTGCATCTGAGTGTTCACATGATGCCAAGATGAAAGTTTGTTCCTGTACGAGTCATTCCGGTATGCGTTCATTCCCGTTTTCTTTTTTTTTTTTTGTTTTAACATATTTTTTTGGCGAATTTTGCCCTAAGAGTAAAAAAGCTCATCAAGAGGGCTCGCTTCGAAATAAAGAATGACATTAAATTGTTCTTAGTCAAAGCGGCAGCAAAACAAAGAGGATATTAAAGGAATGCTTGCAGGACGAAAATACATGTTAAGTTACTTTTATAAAATCTCAGCGATTCAGATATAAAGGACTGGAGATGAAGAAATAAATCCGCCATTATTTTGCTCCGGAGACAATAATGGTGATCCAAACAGAAACTGACTGATATAATTTGTGCTTTAGACATAGAAGACCACCTGTCAGCAAATATGCGAGCAGCAGAGAAAAGACGATTAGTTCTAGGGGAAGAATAAAGTGAACATTCAAGAAAAAAATGCTTAACTGTCTCGGCTTTCATTCCGAATGAAATTCTCGTTCTGGAAAAAAATTTCATTTTGGTACATGCCAATGAAAACGAACGTCGTTCCGACTTAAAAATCGCAAATCGTGTTGTCTGATCTGCGTATCTGATCTGGCGAGAAAACCACGAGAGCCAAAACGCCTTAGGCTACGAACTTCCTTTTAGAACGACAGTCCTTCTGGTTTGAAAATCATTCCGGTATCATGTGAAATCATGGGGCCTGGATCACTTCATGAAAACGAATATTACGGTGGGCAAAAATGATTTTGTTACATAAATAAGCTTGTAACACTGATATTACTGGCTAAAAAATTGTTCAAGTTTGCATGATCAATAAATGAAAAATTTGTGTTGCAAAACTAGCCAAAAGTGCAGATTATGTTAGCAGTGCTTTTTTTCGGAAAATAAATGAAATATTATGCTCGTAATGACCGATTATGCTAAAACCTGTGCAAGAACAATCTATTAAAGCCTAAGGGCGGCTGTACACATGCTATTACTGTCATGCAAATACAGCTTCTTCTTCTTCTTCTTGTTGTTGCCTAGAAGCATGACTTACTATGTGGCAATATTCTCTATCGTCAAGCTTTACATAGTTAGCTGATATTTAATTGGACTAAATTACCTCCTGCCGGTGGGGTGCCTGCGCCAGTTGTAGCAGAAGTCATGGGGCCCTGTGTGGGTCCGGTTCCTAGGAACAAATAGACGTGACTAAGCTCACTGATATATGATACCACCTAGTCTCCTAAACCAATAACGATCCATTGTTTTTATAGTCACATTTTCAAATTTTTATTTGTAACGAACTTTTAGTTTTATTTCCATTTTTCTTTTAGCCCCTGAAGAAGGTTTGTTTTCAAACCAATTGAAATATTGGGCAATTTGTTTAACCATATTTTTTTGTTTTATTCTTTTGTTTACCTCTTCATAGCCCTTGCCGTAAGGATCAGTTTGCCGTTTCATATTTTTCTGAAAATGATTTTGTTACTTAAATGTGCTTGTAGCACTGATATCACAGGCTAAAAGAATGTTTGCATGATCAATGAATGAAAATTTTGTGCTGCAAAACTAGCCAAAAGTGCAGATTAATGCTAGCAGTGCTTTTTTCGGAAAACAAATGAAATGTTATGCTCGTAATGACGGATTATGCCAAAACCTATGCTAGCATAATCTACCAAAGCCTAAGGGCGGCTGTACAAATGCGCACTATTACAGTCATGCAAATAAAGCTTGTTGTTGTTGTTGTTGTTGCCTAGAAGCATGACTTACTATGTGGCGATACTCTCTATCGTCAAGCATTACATAGTTAGCTGATATTTAATTGGACTTAATTACCTCCTGCCGTTGGGGTGCCTGTGCCAGTTGTAGCAGCAGTCATGGGGCTCTGCGTGGGTCCAGCTCCTTCAACTATCTCCACATTTATGTTCAGCGAGGTCCTACCATTTACAATTTTCCCATTCCCACTGATTTTTATGTTGGATTGTGCTAGGAATAGATCAAATCAAGGAATTCAATCATAGAGCGCTCTTCTATCAGTGTGCTGAGCGGATACACGTATACAGTCAAACTTTCCATGTGCGACCATCTCTCTTAACCTACCTCCTCCAATAAGCGACCACTAATACGTCGCATTTTGGATGGTCGCTTACGGGAGATTCCACTGTACTAGCATTTCAGGCTTAATTTCTCGCCAAGTGATTGCCTGTACGGCCCCTTGTGTAACAAAGGTTTATAATTCTGTCAAGATGGTTTGCTTTTCGCCCGCTAATTACGCAAGCACAAATTTGAAAAAGTTTTAGAGTTCAAAACTCGACAAGTTTACTTTATTTACCCATTCCTTCGTCGGGTGAAACTTGGAACATCTTTACAAACAAGCTGTGTCAATTTTGTTTTCGCTTAAGCTGACGTTTTAAGCGAGAACAATCCGTATTTTGGAAAGCATCTTTTTGCAAAACAAGGACTGATTACTCGTGCAAGCCTTCTGTACACGACTTTGCGACTGGTCAGAATTTCTCTTTTAATCAGTGCCATAACAAAGAGTTTTGCGTTTTTCTCGGGAAAGTTATTTTATAAGAGCAATAGAAAACTTTTTTCCTGTGTGAGAATTCTCGACAGTTATGCAAACCCTCGACTTCGTCTTGGGTTTGCACAACTGTCTCGAATTCTCCCAACCCCTCGAGTGTTTATATCAGGCTATGTAAACATGCCACGAAAAAAGTTTTCTACTGCTTAAGAATAAGTGGATGTATCTCTTGGTGTACGAAATGTAATGACGACATTAAGTGAGAAAATTGGCCGGCGTTTTTTTAAATGTTTTTGCGGCCGTTTTGGAGATTAATTTGGATCACTAGCTTCAAATAGGTTGCGGGATATGTTTGTATGTCGGAAATGCGTCTCAGTTTAGCAATTTTATAGTCAAAAACTAGCTTTTCCCTGAAATCTGTACATTTGAATTCATGTTATACCGAGGACCCACAATGAATTGGTTCTTTCCTCGGTGATCGATGTGACAGAAGGATGGTTTCATTTTCTCGATGGAAGAGGAGTTTAAAGTCGTATAGACGTCTTAAACTTCCTCCAGTAGTACTAAATCGCCCAATGACGTTTCAACTTAAATGCTAGTCATGCCAGAGAAACACGCCTTAAAAACTTGTATTGAGTTGAGTAGCCTAGCCAAAAGCGTTCTTACCGTTATTAGAAAAAGGTAGGATCTGCCTAAGTGTCATGTCCTTAGGGTCACTAGCACTCTTTGACAAGTAGCTTAAGGGCCTGGGACTAGGGTCTAAGATGAAACAAAAAGCAAAATGCGGTGATAAACATTTTAAAGGAAATATATACGCATTTCTGGAAAGGAATAAAACTTTAACTGGATGTTTCGTATGTTCCAAATTATATTTTCAGAAGTATAAACCGTTGCATAATTTTGTTCACATGACCATATTTAAACTTATGGGCACAAGAAGACCTCAAGATTTACTTTTGGGAAAAGTTTCATTTTGTTCTACGTCTCTTAGCGAGAGATATTGCCAATCATTCATATGCCCAGAACACACCTTTGACCCAGGCCTAAAAGCTTTTTCATTGTTTCAAGGTTTGCTTTAAGAAATAATGCTAAGTAGATACACAAACGTAACTGCAATCAGAAATTTTAATCGCAAGAAAATGAAACATAAATGAAGAAATAAAATTGTCAACCGTCAGAGGATATGTTTTACCAGCTTGGGAAGCTCCGATGGTGAACAGTAGGTAGAGGAACCACATGTTCGTCTTCTTTAAAACTTCTACAAGACAAAAACAAAAGAAAAACAACAACAATAACAACAACAACAATAACAACTACAAGACGTAGATTAAAAAGTCAAAAGGATTGGAATTCTTTGTTTAGAAGAGGACGAAAGTTTTAACGCTCTAGGCATGGAGTGTATATCTGCGAGTGGGGTGTCACAGACTTATAAAGAAAACCAAGAGAGGATAAAGGGGACAGAGAAGGCATCCCCTATACACACCCTATTCCATAGGTAACTCGTCTCGAGTAATTTCTAAGATCACAGATCCCAAGGGGGATTAGACAATAGCCAATCACATGGCACGAATGTGTTCCGCGTGGATGACCCACGTTCAGAGCCACGCGTCCTTCGCCCTTCCTCTCTTGTATAGAGCTGACAGTACAGCAGGGAAATCCTTAACACACTGAATATTCTCTCAGGATCATTTATAATTTACAGTTTGAAGAGAGCAATTTCTGGTTTGATATTTATTTTTTTCTTAGTCTTTTATTATTCAACAAAAATAACACTTGGCGTCCTACTTGCTTTATTGTACAAACGACCGGTTTCAATAGACCGGCGAAATTTCTCATTTTATTAAAGCACTGAGGCTACGACAACTTCGAGTTAAACTGATTTCACGGGTTGTCAAAGAGTCCAGCGATTCCCTTTTCCCAGGTGAGCGCCAACTTATTTCGCGTCAATATTCAGGAATGCTCTCGATCTCTTTACCCTTTCACTGCCTTTCGCCCGACATGTTTTGCATGACGTTTAGTCATGCGAAACCTCCACGAAACATCCACGCAGCGCGCGAGGTAACTTTATCCCGATTCTAAAAATAACTCGAGACGAATTACCTATGGAATAGGGTGTATATGGGGGATCCCTCTTGAGAAAACTTAACGTAACTGCACTATGTATAAAAAAGCGACTTTTTAAAACATTTAGCTATAAAATATTGCGAAAAAACTTTTCTTTAAAACATTTAAGAATTTTTAAAAAAAGTTAAAAAATACACGAAGTTTCGACGTTTCCGGACG